AAGTTAAATAGCCGGCAAGCTGGCTCAGTTGAGGCAAGACCCAGGTAGGCCAGAAATATACATGATTCTAGGGAAACACGGCTACAGCGTCAGATGAGCCTTGGTGAAGAGTAATTATGTGCATCTGCTGAAGATAAGCTTTTATCAAAAGTAATTAGATAGAAGCTGCAAACCACTGCATAACATGGATGAAACCTTAATGACATCATGCTGCGTGAAACTAGTCAGTCACAAAAAGACAAAAATTGCTTAAGACCATTATTCTAAATGCTTAATAAAAGGTACCCAGACTAAAAGAAAAAACAAAAATTCTTTGTTGGTTACTAGGGGAGGTAGCAGAGGAGGGGAAAAAAAACCCAAAAACCAAATAGTCATTAGATAATTTCGGCACTAGACACTAAAGAAGTACAACTGTCTGCCTTGTGGCTGAGAAGTGTGAGGAAATTTTGTTGTTGTTAAGTGTCATTGAGTTGGTTCCAACTCATAGCAACCATGTAAAGGGTTTCCAAGGAATGGCTGGTGAGTTTGCAATGCTGACCCTTTTGTTCAAACTGACCTTGCAGTCGAGTGTCTTTCAGGTATTGTAAAATGTATGTTTGAACTAGAAAAGAATTGCAGCTTGAGGTTTATACCCATTAGTGACAGAGGCAACAGCCATGCCGTGGGGCCTGAGTCACACAGGGAAAGTTAAATATGTGACTATCATAAGGATAATATTTTTCATCATGGTAATGTAACTATAGCAGAATAGTTTGCTAAGCATTAGATGCTTTCGCCTCTCCCCTCCTTAGGGAATACTGAAATGATGAATTTGTCTGAGGAAAACAACTGAGAAACAGAATTGCTAGTCGGGATTAATTCTTAAATGTAAGCAAAAATAATGAAAGACAGTCGCCTTCAACCCCTGCCAAAAACCCCACTGCTGTTTAAAGCAGAATTCCAGGCAAAATGGGTGATGGAATTTCATTGCTGGCTTTTATTTTCTTCACATCTGTGTGTGTGTGTGTGTGTGTGTGTGTGTGCGCGCGCATACTGGATGGAGCAACACTAGCAGTTGAAAGGCAGCTTAAATAAAAACAACCCACTAAGAGAAAGCCAAAAAGAACTCTTTTTCTATTTCTAACTTTTCTTGCACCTTTAAAATGATACCTTTTAGTAGGTATCATTTTAAAGGTGCAAGAAAAGTTAGAAATAGAAATGAAGAGGAACAGTCTTGAAAATTAGAAAACCCAACAGCTTATATATACAAGAAAAATAAGGAACCCAAGGATGCTAAATGGCCAAATAATGTCACTTATAATATTTTTCAAGATACTGAATTCCAGGGACTAGTTGCTGGAGAAGGATATCACGTTTGGTAAGGTGGAGGGTCAGAGAAAAAAAAAAGAGGAAGACCCCCCAGTGAGATGGATTGGCAAAGTGGCAGCATCAATGGGCTCAAGCGTGGCAACAATTGTGATGTTGGCCCAGGACCGGGCAGTGTTTCGTCCTGTTGTGCATACAGGGTCGCTATGGGTCAGTGCCGACTCAATGGCACCTAACAACAAACAACAATATAATATCTTTCAAAGGAGCTCTGGTAGCATAGTGGTTACGAGTCAGGCTGCTAACCTCAAGGTCAGCAGCTCAAGACTACCGGCCATTCTGCAGGAGAAAGATGAGGCTTTCTGCTCCCGTAAAGATTTACAGCCTTGGAAACACTATACAAGGTCGCTGAGATGGAACCGACTCCACGTCACACTACCAACCCCCCACCCCCATAATATCTTTCAAGTGCATAAGAACTATTCTTTAGATGCTTTATTTAATTCCTTAGTAATTATTGGTAATCCCAATAAATGAATGAGATTTTTGGGAAGTTCACACACTCATGTTCATAAGTATCTGACCCACTGCAGTGGCATTTGAGAGATGAATATAGGATGTTCTCAAATTTATGCTTAATTTTTAGTGCCAGACGTAAGTGGTTTCTGTAGTAACCTGTATTTGGGAAATCTAACAACATTCAGGTGAATATGCCAGCAGCACAGAAATGAAATAATCTTAATTTGACTGACAGGAACATAACTGTTTTGTGATTTTATGCCAGACAGTGACAAACAGCCTGTGCTTTGATTTTACCTGAGCAACTTGTTAGTAAGCTAAAAGTACTTCCAAACATTCTGCATTACTTTCAGATACTCAGGATAAATGACATCTACTGTGATGCTTCAAGCTTCATACACACACACACACACACACACACACAATTGTTGCTGTATGCCATTGAGTAGTTCTGATTCAGGACGTAGCAGAACTGCCCCTTTCCAAGGGGCTTTCTAGAGGAGTCATGGTGTGACACTTCAGGTTAATATGCTAGACCACAAGGTTGGTTTGAACCACAAGGTCGGTGGTTCAAGCTCACCTGCTGCTCCTCAGAAACCCTATATATGGTCATTCTATATGAGTTGGAACCGACTCAATGGCACGTAACAGCATCAACAATCTTAGGGAAAAAGCAGGCACACACACACATACACCTATGTATGTCCAATTTATTTATATTAGGATGCTTTCCCAATGTAAACTTAGCTCACCTACTTAAGTGTTTTGTTTGCTTCATTTTTTGAAAGACATACAGATAAAATTAACCAGAAGATCATTTTCCTGCTCTTGCATTTATAAATCTGGCCTGATTATGGTGTGCTAGCTTAGGGTTGCTTGAGTTCACAGATGTTATGGAGTCCTGGTGTGGCACTGCAGAATAATGTGCTGGACTGCAAAGTCAGTTTGAATCACAAAATTGGCGGTTCAAGCTCACCAGCCGCTCCTCAGAAACCCTATACAGGTCACTATGGGTTGGAATCAACTAGATGGCACTTACCAACAACAACAATGGTTGCAAGTATTTAGAAGCAAGCAATGACAATGATAAACCATTTAGAAAATACACCCAGGAGGAAGGCTTTCGGTATTGGAATGAGAGAAAAAGGATAAGGACCTATGATGTTTCAAAGGACAGCGCTGCAGTCAGCAGTCAGTTACTGAGGGTGTTATTGTCATGAAGGGTGGTAAGTCCTTGTAGTTCATCCAGTATTTGCTATGCAGTATTCATATGGAATTGTCTCTAGCCAGCTTTAAAAATAGAATTGTCAAGGAGGTCTCAGGAGTCTGGCCAAGAATCAGGGAATGGACCTAGATGCCCTTTCAAGGTTCCCCTCCTACACCAATACAAAAACAACAACAACAAACAAACACAAAACCAAATACTGGCATCACTCAACAGACCTGGTTACAATAAGAATGCATTGAGATGCAAACACATAATGTCATTCCTTACATAAATAGCTAAGAAGGTGATCTGATACTGCTTTCAGACATTATACAGTAAGCTGAAGCAATATGATATATGTAAACCTTCTCCCTAAATCAAAGTACCAGCCCACAAATTCTCAATGTAAATTGCCTGAGGAGAGCCTCAGGAAATTGAAAATGTCTCCTCTGGATGTGTAGCTTCAGGCATTTTAACAGTTAAAGAAAATGTTCTAAAAGTAAACGTTGGCATGGAAAAAGCACAGGGGAAGGAAATCAGCAATGTTCAGATCAAAAAACAGTTCTAGAAGGCATCTTAATTTTCATATGGCTCATTTGCATTTGAAACACTGAGAATTTCTATCACACTTGTACAAAAATGTGTACATATTAAATTACTTTCCACTTGAAAGAACATTTTCCTAAATGTTTGGAAGATGATCAAATTTTAACTGGAGGACTTGTTTTCTTCCATCAGGTGTGGGGGAGATGTGGCTTCCTGGTATGAGAGGCAACAGTTGATTCTGATAGTACAACAAGACAAAAATAAAATAGTAAATAGAAAACAATTCCCAGGTATACAGCTTGATTTAAAGGTACTACAACAAAACTATACACAAGGGTCAAAGATGTCAAAAGACACTGATTTTTTAATTAAGCAGGTTTACCCTTCCAAAAATTGTGATCTTCTGATATGTGAAGATTAGGTTTATTATTTATTCTAGGATCTCATGGATGTACTATATGCTTTACTTCAATATACTCAGTTTTAAATAGCTAGTCAGTCTTTAAAAGATAAATGCCTGCCAGCAGTCTAAATAGTATCCATCTCAAATTCTTAATAATAGCTAAGATACTGACAGAACAGCGAGGATTAAAAAACCTCTTATCTATCAACTTCAACCAATAACTTTACAATAAAATTATTAGTCATCTACCCAGAGATCTTGAAGCTGAGAATCCAGGTAGAAACTCAAACTTTGAAAATTTGAATAAGAGTATAGAGACTTTTTCTACAATTATTTGGTTTATTTTCTGACATGATGGGATGTCTAGGAATGAGGTATAGTCTCCGAAAGGAGACCAGAACCTGAAGGGCATCCCTTCTCTTGGCCTTGCTTTATGGAGGAGGGAGATGGTTAGGCAGGGTCCACTGATGGATGCTATAAGGGGGCCTATTACTGACGGTGGATTATTATTGTTGTTAAGTGCTGTCGAGTTAGCTCCAACTCGTAGCAACCCTGGAGCAGTGGTAGGCTTGACTCAACAGCACGTCACAATAACAACAATCCACCTTATGTAATAGGCCCATTATAGCACCCATCCTTGGACCATGCCTAACCATCTCCCACCTAACAGACTGTGGAGTTACTGCTTGTCATGATCATTATAAAACTATTCTGCAATATTGAGACATTTCAGGATAGGACTGATTCTCAGATGTCTGGGTTTTATCCCTTTATAATCCTAGGAAAGGCAGACATACATCTGGAGGTTACATAAAGATAGTGGGATTCCACTGGAAGGTGGGTAAAATTCAGTCCTGTTGTCTTAAGAGTTGTACTGTACGAAGTTGGGCTTTGAGTACACAGTCTGGCAGATGGTAGATCCAATTCATTACTAAAAGAGCAGCACAGTAATTTGGTTGCTTTGGAATAAGGTTTTGCAACAATGTGGAAAGTTTCAGAATTTTTCGGTTTTATCACATGTAAACTAATACAATGGTACGGTCGTGGTGTCTACCTCACCTCACTTTGAAAGGGAAACATGGGAAAGAGTGGGGAATAAAAGGATCATTTTATGGAACTTTAACTTTCGAACAGATGTACCTGCTGACGTCTTCTGTTTCTTCCCTCGTTGCGGGCTTTTCGTTTCATTTGGTCTTCTCGAAAAGAATCAAGGTAGGGGCTCTCCAGGAGTTGGACACAGGTTAATCGGTCATCTGGATTCATCTTTAGACAGCCCTTTGGAAGAAGAGAAAAGCTGAGGAGCTATTACAACAAAGACCTATTTTGTTACTGTGCCTAAAAACTCTCAATGATAATTCAGGAGCACAAATATGAGCTCAAAAAACTTTCATTTGTATATTTATCAAGAACTAGAAACTTGCCCTAGTGTGGCACGGTAGGAAAAGCACTGGAATGCAAGGCCAGTTTGAACTGCAAGGTTAGTGGTTCAAATCTACCAGTTGCTCCTTGGAAAACCCTATACAGGGTCACTATGAGTCCGAATCGACTTGATGGTCCTTAACAACAAGGAACTTGTGAATAGCAAGACATGCTCTTCTTTTGCCACTTCAAAGACTTTTGAGGGTAGGACTTATGGACATTTATTTAATGTCTCTGCCATCACTTCATTGCTAGTCAAAACAAATTGTTTTGTTGTTGTAAAGTGCCATTGAGTTGGTTTCGACTCATAGCAACCCTGTATAGGGTTTCCAAGGAGCAGCTGGTGAGTTTGAACTGCTGACCTTGTGGTTCTCAGTCCAGTGCTGGTCTTCAAAGTGTGGTTTTAAGATTAGCAGCATCAGTACAACCTGGAAACGTGTTAGTAAAGCAAATTCATGGGTCTGATGTGAGACCCTACTGAAACAGGAACTCTGGGATGGGAGCCAGGAAGCTGTGATTAGCAAGCCCTCCAAGAGGTTTTGATGCCTGCTCACATTTGAGAACAAATGGAGGTGGTAAAATGATGGAGTGCAAGCCTCCATGGGGATAAGTGGAAAACAGAGTCATAAAAGTAGAACTAGCAGCACATAGAAAAATGTGGTGTTGCACCCCTTGATATTATTAGTTGTTGTTGCTGCTAAGTGCCGTTAAGTTGGTTCTGACTCATAGCAAACTTGTTCACACCAACCTTGCAGTCCAGTGCATTAACCCACAGCGCCACACCAGGACTTCTATATTATATTAGAGGCTATTACAATCCTCTCTAAGGAGCTCTGGTAGCATAGTGGTTACGAGTCAGGCTGCTAACCTCAAAGTCAGCAGTTCGAAACTACCAGCTGTTTCATGGGAGAAAGAGGAGGCTTTCTGCTCCTGTAAAGATTTACAGCTTCAGAAACCCTGTACAGGGTCGCTATGAGTCGGAACCGACTCCACGGCACATAACCACCACCACCACAGTTCTCTCTCTCTGCCTTCCAAAGGGGGAAAGACTGGCACAGCAGTAGCATCTGAGGTAGTCCGAACACAAAGACGTTTTCTCTGTGAAGCCCTGATGCTCTTTGGCCAGTCCCCACTGGGATTTTTCTCATCAATAAAAACAGAGTGCTACAGGTCCACAAAGAACTGGAGCTGCCTTAAAAACATCCAAGCAAAGATAACCTGAAATTCCTTGCTCTATGTCCATAAGCCACCGTCCGTCTGTTAGTTTGTTGTCCTGCAGGGGCTTGTGTGTTACTAGGACACAAGAAGCTATGCTACTGATATTTCGACTACCAGCAGGGTCACCCATGGAAAGTTTTCAGCTGAGTTTTTAAGACAAAGAAAGACTAGGAAGAAAGGACTGGTAACTTGCTTCTGAAAGTTAGCCAGTGGCGACCCTATGGATCAAAACAGAATGCTATGCTTTATAGTGGAAGGTGAATCCCCTAGGTTGGAAGGCACATAGAAATGAAGTGGCTGCAATCCTTGATCTAAGTACACCACTGATCGTGTAAATGGCAGAGGATCAGGCAACAGTTCATTCTGTTGTACAAGGGAATGCCATGAGTTAGTCACCTTAACAGCAGCCAATAGCAGCTTGTGCATTAAGAGAGAATTAGGCTCATAGCATTCAGGTGTCAAGGATGCTCCAGCCGTGGGCTGCCCTGTAGTTTCTGTCTCTCCCAAACCCAAGCTGAACTCAGATCCCTGAAAACTCTGCCTGCCCTTAAGCAGTCTCACCTGCCCTTTGGCAACGTAACTGATTAGCGCTATTTCTTCATAGACAACTCTACTCAGCAGAACTAGACTCACCTGCACCTCCCCCATCAACTACCTGCTCCAAGCAGATCCAAACCTGTTGCTGTCAAGTCTGCTCCAACTCATAGACCCTACAGGGTAGAGTAGAAACTTCCCTATAGAATCTTCAAGCGGACTACCACATTTTTCTCCTATGAAGCAACTGGCGGGCTCAAACAGTTTGGTTGGCAGTCAAGTGCTTAACCACTGTGCCACCAGGGCCCCTTCCAAGGACATCATCCCTAATTAATAATTCAGGCCATATATTAACTGTAGGTGCTAGGGGGCAGGGTTTAGTCTTCTCAAACCTCAAGGAGACCATTTCAGTACAAACTGTAGTTGTCTCTAATTCTTCATCACCTTACTTTATAATTCCACTAAAGTCAGTCACTCTTGTTATAAACACCTATAAGCTCTACTTCTGTTTCTCTAAATCCAGTAGACATTTTGAGCTCTCATCTCAACAGTACAGAGAGTCCCTGGGTGATGAATGAGATCTATTCCTAAGTGTGTCTGTAAGTTGAACTTGTAGATCCGTCTGGACATATGCGTACGGTTCTTACTTAGCCTTACTGTAGTGCAGAGATGGGGACTGTCCAGTCCACGGGCTGTATAAGGCTCACAAAATCATTTGGTCTGGCCCTGCCAAGGCAACCGTAGTTCTAGTCATCATGTTGTTGCTAAGTGTCGTTGAGTCTGTTACAATCCATAGTGACCCTCCATAGGGTTTCCAAGGAGCGGCTGGTGAACTTGAACCGCCGACCTTGTGGTTCAAATGACTTTACAGTCTAGTGCATTAACCCACAGCGCCATACTGGGACTGGGTGAACTAATTAAATGTTTGACCAAATATAATAGGCTAATGTTTAAGTTGATAATTTTGTATGGCTGGTGAATTATGTTACAAATTTTGGCAGAAAAAGGTTCCCCACTCCTGAGGTTTAGTGCAAGAAGAAACAAAAGTCTTTTCTCTGATTTAAAAACTGCATGTGCAGTAAGTGAAGGTGATTGTAATGCTAGCAGGGGCTGATTCAATTGTTTTGAAATGAAGGCAGATTTACATAACATTAAAGGGCAAGTAGGAATTGTCTATACTTTAGAAGTTTGTAAACTGGGGACTTAACAGTATCAGATACCACTGACCACATGCTTCTTGAAACTCTCTGATTCGATAACTCATGTTCCTTCTCCTTCCTCCTGGCCACTCCTTTTCAAACCAGACTTTGCTAGTTTACCTTCTTTGCCATAATAATTACAAGGAATCCTCAAGGCTATATCCTAGGTCCTCTTTTCTCAGATGTTCTCAGTTTTTAGCCAATCTTACTGATGCTCATGGCTACAATGATCAAGGTTTGCCATAGACTTCCACATGTGTATTTGTAGTCAAGGCCTCCCCTCTGGACTCCAGACCCACATACAACTGCTTAGTCTTGAGGGCACTGCATGCTTGACACCCTTTTCCACTTCACTCCCCACATATAAATCACAACCAAGTTCCATCAATTGTACTGCCGAATACTTATACTTGTATAAATGTGAACATGGTGGCTCTGTAAGATAATCACTGGACTGTGAACCACAAAAGGTTGGTGGTTCAAGCCCATCAGCTGGTCCATGGGAGAAAGGTAAGACTTTCTACTCCCAAAAAGATTTATAGCCTTGGAAACCCTATACAAGGTTGCTATGAATAGGAACTGACTCAACAGCACTTAGCAACAACAATGGTGGGCATAAGGTGAGTTAACAAATTTAGCTTTATCCAAAACTTGGGTAGGTCAACAGAGCACTTCACCTATGGAGATGAATAGATAGGGAATTTGTCCTATACCTTCGAGTTTCCATGCCCTGGAGATGCCTTCAAGGAAATGTTCTCTCTGGTTAGTTGGAGAAGCAACCACAGGAACCCTCTAGGCTCCACTTGAGAATGGGTTGGGCTTGCAAGGCTTAACATTTTCCCTTCCCCTTGGAGGTTCTGCTAAATTGTAGGTGAGTCAGAACTAACTGTTAAGAATAAGGTCAGGGAATTATGCTTCCAGGAGAGGCTCTTCGTAGTGCTAGGTGGACGAGAGGCCAGACCAGTCAGCCAGAGTAAATAAATGATAGCTGAGGTCTGAGAGAATTCAGACTCGAGTGATCCAGCACCCTGGATAGCGCCAGGCAAACCTCAGCACTAGTACAAAGATTGGCCAACAAAGGTCCTCCAGTTGGCCCCATCTTCTAGATTGGCTGAGTTTCAAACTGGACTGCTGATCATAATTACCTGAGGGGATGTTTAAACATATAAACTTTGACTCACGGAGAGTCTGCTTCTGCAAATCTGAGGTTAGATAGGTTAGATGCTAGAATTTGTACTTTAATAAGTTCCCAAGTCTTTCTGATGAGTAGCCATGTCTGAAAACAACTGCTATAGATACAGTGTAAATGATTATCAAAGGTAGATTCCCCAACTAGTTTCCCCATCCCCATCCCCATCCCCATCCCCCTAAGCGTTTCAGCATCCACATTGGATGGAAGGGCCACATCTAGTAAAGGCGTTAGTGGGTCAAGAATGGTTGCCAGCTGGTAGGCATAGATGAGATCCTTTTGCTTCTCATTAGACTTTGTCCTTTGTTTAACCGTCACTCTTGGGTCTGGCTCTGGGGTTATGTCTGGTACCTGCATGGTTCTGATTTTTCTTGGTCTTCTGGTAATTTTAATACATACATTAGAAATACTATTTACATCATTTCAGTTCCTTTGTAATTAATTATTTTACAGTTCCTTATCATTTTCAGTAACTATATCCTACCTTGGTGGCATTTTCCCTACTGCCCACCTCTCCTAAAGTTAGCAGCTTCAACCATTATAATTTACAATCAACAACGGTTATAATGGATTCTGTAGTACCTTCATGAAATTCAAAGCCACGGGATGAATACCTAAGAACTTTTCCTCAAGCGTTTCCTAGAATACAATGCAAAGAATTTCAAGGTTACATACTAAAATGCAATGTATATTTTGAATGTATTAGTAAGAACACTGTAGAGAAAGGAGCTCTAGAAGGTTAGCACTTTTAAAGTCTTTGAAATCATGATTTTATGAATAATTTCGTGCTACAATGTAAAGCTCTAAAAGACATAAAATTGGAGGTTTTTTCTAAAATTCAAAAGCCTTGCATTTGATGCTGGGTACAAGTGGGTCTAATATCTGTGATTTATCAACTTATAACGATCCCTTAGGAATTAATAAAACTGTGTTGAACATATATCAGAGTGCTACAGAAAGCAACAAAATAATAAACATACAATTCAGAAAAAGAGGGAATAAGTATGTGGATGAGAAAATGGGGGAGAGGTACCTCCCAAGGTCATATTCTACTTCTCATTGTGCAGTGAGCACATGTGTGTTGCATGCATATTATTCTTAATAATAAAGTAAGCAAGTGTTAATATCAATATTCTTTTGCAATTCAACCTTTAACCGTGTAGTATATTCAGTCTTTAAAAATATAGGAAGAGAAGAACAAACAAGATGGTGGATCGGGTGGAAGTGTTGTAAAGAGCTCC